ACATGATTTACACCAGGCGTGTCCATATTGATGTAACTGACTGTCCATCCACAACCTTCTCCTGAGACACAGACAATAGTGTTGCATGCCCTGGAGACAGTCTTAACGTTTAGATGGTAAGGGATTACTTTAAAAAAGCATTTTTAAAATTTCCTTTAAAGATTAAAAAAAAAATTGGACAAGAAGGAAGAGATGCACTAACAGTCGGGGGCTCCTCATCCACGTAGTAAATGATGATCTTCTCCATCATCAGGTTCTGCCCATCCACAGAAGGAGTAAAGCGTCTGCTCTGGTCAGTAAACAGTTGCAAATTATGGCTTTTTATTTTAACATTTGTTCTTTAAACGACACTTCTGACATGCAAATACACTCGCCACAGCAATCACAGCAATCGCTACCACCACGATGACAGCAGTGATCCTGCCTGTCAGGTACGCGTATGTGTCGACTCTTCACACTCTCTCTGCTTTACATTTGCGCCATCTCTCTTTGCTGAATTAGAGGAAAGAGCAGACACACCAAAAAAGTTTATATAATGACCCCTTTTTCTCAAAAGATAAATTTACCGACAGCAGGTCGTTTATCTCACCTGAGTTTTTTTGTACTTCCTCTGTCGCTTCTGGAAAAAGAACTACAAACACAGAGAAGAAACCAAATTATGGCCTTTTGTTTTAACATTTGTTCTTTAAACGACACTTCTGACATGCAGATGCGCTCACCACAGCCAGCAGGCCAGCAATCACAGCCAGCACCACCACCACGATGACGGCGATGATCCCGCCTGTCAGGTGCTTCATGGTGATGGTCGGGGGCTCCTCGTCCACATAGTAAATGATGATCTTCTCCATCATCAGAGTCTGCCCATCCACAGAAGCAGTAAAGGTTTTCTGCTCAGTAAACAGTGGCAGCTCCTTCACCTGCAGAAAGTCACATGAAATGATGGAGTTAGCCAGTGGGTCCATTATACAAAACGTACACAAACACACAGGTTGTACATACGTCTTTCTCCATGTAGTAGGCCATTCTGGACAGGTCATTGATGCGCTCTCCTTTTGGCTTAGTCACATCAACCACAATCATGCGAGCGTCTGGGTCATACTGTAGAATGACAGGATGTTAGTTAGCATGGCAGTGGTGCTTTTTGCTTTGTTCTAAATTACAAGCAGTTTTTTGTTGGACTGTCACTCACCTGAA